TATTATTATTATTATTATTATTATTATTATTATTATCATCATCATTATCATTTTTATCATTTATCATTTATTATCGTCAGTGTGTTACGCACTTTCAGATTATTATCATATTGTCATCGGTGATCTTGTTACTGTTGACAGTGTCCGCGATTAGGATAAGAACCAGTCGAAAATCGAAAAGCATGCCGATATCGAATGATCAAGAGGTGAGAGTGGTCGAACAAAGAGAACGATCATCGTGTTCCTTACCACCTCCCTATACAGTAATTGATCTTGTACCTCCACCACAATACGCGCAATTTGAACGAGATCATGAAAAAGAGCGTTGTTTTGTTGCTAAACAAGAAGGGAATCAAGCAAGTTTTCTTCACACTAGCACTGAACAAACTTGTGAATCTGTGCCGATGCGTAATGCAGTGTTCAACGATCCTGAATATTTCGTATAAGAATGATTACATTCATCTGTAAAATGCTCTTCCGTGTCCTCTCATTAAAAAGACCAATTTGGTGTCCCCATTCCCCTCTCCCCAAAAAAACAATATAATCTTTTCTTTATATTCCTGAGCAGTTGCAGCAGCAGCAGCCCACCTATTCATTCAGACTATAATTTTGCACTCATTCTTTCTTATCTGTGATATGCATAATTATGGTACCATTGTTAATTTATTCTTGTGCGTTGTTCACTTTTATTCATGCCGTTATTATTGTTATTATTATTGGTATTGTTATTACTATTATTTACCTTATTCCTTTTTAATAACGAATTTGTAATTGTTAATTGTAAACAGACTTAAGTTTGTCGCATATAGTGTTCGTCGGGGAACGGAGTCCCCATCGGGGACCCCGGCGGGGAACGCGGGGAGCGCTCTCCCTCCCGCGCAGTTTGCTCCCCGACTTTTTCGCGAGGACCCCCTCCCCTCCCCCGTCCAATTTTCTCCCCGCAGGCGATTCGCTTCCTGACCTTTCCTCGGGAACCTCCCCCGTCAAGTTTCGCTCCCCGACGGAGAGGACGAGCTCCCCGTCCTCCCCGAAGGGAAGGAAGGGGAGCGCGAACAATCAATTGAAAATGGTGAGAGACCGCTGCAACACTTCCAATATTGTCTTGTTGCTTGTTTTGAAATGCGAGTATAAGGTGCACTTGAAAGAAAACTACTCAAAAAAGATGAAGAATCTTTAAAAAATTGAAATTTTGTATAAAAAATTGAGCTGAATTGCTCCCCGTTCTCCCCGTCGGGGAACGCTCATTCCCCGACGGGGTCCTCCCCCCGCGCAATTTGCTCCCCGGCTATTTTGTTGGGACCCTCCCCCGCCCAGTTTACTCCCCGCAGGGACCCTCCCCCCATGTGCGAAAAACCGCTCCCTAACGAACACTAGTCGCATAGCATGCCTACGTGCCTTTTATTTTCGTATTATGCTGCTCGATGATCAGTCAGTTAATGCAAAGATCATCATTAAAAATGGCACCAATTCAACGAATAAATTTTTATGATGATGTTAATGATACGATGATGATGACAATGATAAGGATGACGAGCAAACGACCTTCAACGAAAATTCATCAAGGATTAAATAATCGTTTTCAATCATCAAACAGGTTCGATTGTTCAACAATTGCGCTTCTCAATAACACTCCACAACTGTAAAGATACACTTATGAACAATTTGCGAGCATCTGATGAACAGCAATTAAGAACTGTGGTGCATGTCACTATCAAAAAGCCCGGCTGGCTTTAGTCAAATACACTTTCGTTAATTACAATGAGAAGAAGAAGCATTAGTCATAATCTTGACCCACATCACCAAAAGCACAGTAAAACCGCGTTTCAGAACGTGCTTCATTGTCAGATAGGCTCGAGCAAGAACAACGATAGCAATAACACTGACAGTAATATTGATGATGATAATAATTATGATACCAATGATATTAATAACAATACCAATTATAATAACATTCATTTTACTATTATTCTCAATGACGTGAAGAGATCCAATTTTGTTGCTGAAAAATAAAACGAATCAAAAAATAAAAAACAAATCACAATTCGTTGGTGACGTATTTGGTGATTTTGTTGACCAAACTGATTGAATCATATAAAAGTTGGAATGAAGAAACTGGTTATCGAGTGCAGTTTAGATCGTCTTCGATTGCACAATCGTCGTATACATTTCCAACTTATTAAAACGAATAAAATGTCATCTAATATTATGATATTTTGCGAAATAAATGATATATATCACAGTTAATGATGGTAACAACATGGAAGACAACAATTAAAGTAATGATGTTGAAAATAATTCATGGAAACTTGCTAAATTAACGATAATGATGATTGTTAAAATATTGAAATAAGCATGTATAAAAAAATATTCAAGAAATATTCATAATAGTAAGAATACCGATAATAGCAGTGATAACAATAATAATAAGAACAGTAATAATAATAATAATAATAATAATAACAATAATTATTATTATCATTATAAATAACAAATGTTTATAAAGAAACGATGAATCATAAAATATTCTAGATTTATTCGATAAACGGATCTATCGTCCATTAAAATCATCTTATATATCTGTCTGACGATTTACGTTCTATCAGATTCATTTTATCATTCTTATTCTCATTTCGTTCATTCACTATTGTTGTTATTATTAATCCATTGCAAGTTCGCTCAGCTCATTTCTTTTCTAATTAATCTATTCTGAATCCTTTTCAATTTTCGGTATTCTTTTCATTATTATTGTTGCTTTTATTATTATCATTACTATTATTATTATTATCATCATAATTAATGTTATTACCATTACTGTAATTATGTTTTTGTTAATGTCCTAACTTCACAAGTCACCACTGAAGATATTCTCATTATTTCAGCCAATAACTGCAGATGATAAGAAGTACTGTTTCGCTAGTATTCTTATTATGGTTAGATGTAAACTTCTTGGATGCTCAGTTCATATTGCCCGCACAAGATGAAGCACTTCTTCGACGAAGGTTCAATAATGAATTTCAATCACTTTTATAAAACTTTCACGGATACGTAAATTAATATATCTAGCACATTGAATGCTCATGATCACACACCAAAGACAATATTCATAATAAAATGACAACAATATGGATGAAATTCAACGAATAATATCAATTTCTAGTAAACGCCATACGAGTAATACAAGGGCTGATATAGAGAACGTTCGAAATTTATTGAAAGGTTTCCTTAAATTATCTGCAGATGTACCGTTAACGCCGAAAAGACGTTCAAATTTTGGTTCGGTTCGTTTTTAAGAAGTTGATGAATTTATTGATAATCCTACTACTCCTATTACTATTTATTCTATTTTTATCAACATTATTGCTAACATCATTATCAATATCGTTATAATTATTGTTTTAGCGACCTATTGGGTATAAAATAATCGATCGTACAGAATATGCAGTGAATAAGAAAATTTTAAATGAGGTCTTTGAAAGCGATTTAGTGTTAACGTTACCGCAGATGAAGGATATTATGAGCGATTTTCAGAGACGCATTTGTAAGTTATTCTTATTATTCTGTGTTGTGTTATTATTATTAGCACTGTTATTATTCATTGTTTCGACATTATTATTCTCACATCAATAACGTGAGCAAGCATTTCAATTTGCTGCCCCATTTGAAGTTGTGGCGATTTCAGTCGAAATTCCCATTAAACTGATATTTTTAGCATAACAATTCAAAAATTTGTTTTCATGACGATTCCATAAAAATAATAAAAAGTGACCGTCAGTGATAAACACAAATGCAAACAAATATTTCAGCAAATCAAGATCATCAAATATCTAAACGTAAAGCAATTGTTGGGGACGGCTTTCGATGGCCGAACCAAATAGTGCCCTACGTCCTCAAAGAAACCGACAGTAAGTTCATCGCGGATGAAGGATGACAGCAATAAACATTTGATCAGTTCATTTTCGTGATTACCATTTCATCAGATCGAATCAATAATAATAGTTAATTAACAGGTGAATGGAGAAAACTGATACTAAATGGAATACGAAAGTGGGAAGCTGAAACTTGTATTCGTTTTGTAGAACGTACAAATGAAACTGATTATGTCTACGTTTTTAGAGGAGCTGGGTATGTTACTATTACAAATCGGATTTATTTGTGTTGATATTATCATTATTACAGGTGCTATTCGAGCGTTGGTAGAATTGGTGGCAGACAATACGCTTCAATCGGTTATGGCTGTGAGAGTGTAATTTTCAATTTGTAGTTTGATGAAATCATTGCACAATAATAACTATTATTACTACCACTTTTGTCATTGTTATTTTTTTTATTTTTATTATTATTACCATCCATACTATTATTTACCAAATATTGCTTGTTGGACATGTTCATAAGATAGATAATGTTGAGGGTGGAATTGTGGCCCATGAACTGGGGCATGCACTTGGATTTTGGCATGAACAAAGCCGCCCAGATCGCGACAAGTGAGTTTTATCATAGTGATTTATCACATATGGCGTGTGTTCAGAGGTGATGTTAATGACGGAATAAATACTTTAAGGTATATAAACATCAATGAAGAGCACATATTTCGTGGTACAAAAGGTAACTTCGAGAAGCGACGTGATATTGCTGACTTAGATACACCTTACGATTTTGGATCTGTTATGCATTATGGACCACAGGTATGTATGTTTCTTGCAGCTTTGGCCAAAGCCCATCACTTCAACATGCTCTGATATCACTTCATTAGCAAAAACCAGATAATTTAAACGTTTACGCTAATTAAAGGCGTTCAGTGATGATTGGAACTACTTGACAATCGAAACAAAAGATCATCGATTCCAACATACAATTGGTCAAAGACATGATTTATCGTTTATAGATGTTAAAGAGGCAAATCTATTGTACTGCAAAGGTGAACTGTTGCTATCTTCTTCACTCGCTTCTACTCACAACCCAACAAAAGTCAACGCAATAACTAATCACTTTCAGATCGATGTCGAGTGAAATTGAACTGTTTATATGGTGGATATGAGGATCCACGAAATTGCGCCATCTGTAAATGTCCAACAGGACTGGCTGGGCGTCGTTGTGAATCAATACCCGTGTCAACTTGTTAGTCGATTTCACCAGTTGCTTATGAGTTTTATCTTCATGCGAAACATTTCACTACCAAAGAAAATCCTCGTGTCGAGTAAAAGCCTAATGGCACTTCTTTCGAAACGATTCACTTTCGTTAGTGCTGCGCTTGTTCGCTTTTAACTTTAGGGGCAGTTCAAAGAAGAAGAATGATATTTTATCATAATACAAATAATTGTGGGCAGTGAAGGGTTGACTTCTGTTATCGACAAATTCATTTATTTAACAGTAGGTACTTAGTGAAGTTTCTAGTTGAGTAGCAATGAAAGGAGAAATATTTTGTAGCCCATTGTGGAGGTGAGCTGACCGCACTGTCAGCATGGCAAACACTTAAAAGCAACACCACTGGAAGGTGCTATTGGCGTATAAGTGTGAGTCACATCTTAAAAATTAATCAGATCATTCATTCGTTTTCGTTTAAAAATTTATCATTCTCTTCAAAGAAAATGCTCGCAAATGCTGTCACTGTCAAAGAAAGATGTTGACATACTGGGCATTTTACGAAATGTTTGTTGAGGATGAAATTATTGCAATTCATGTGTTGCATTCATTTTATAGGCCCCAGTTGATAAAGTACATTTTGAAGTAATTGATACGTCATATTCATGTGAATCGTCATGCGCAGATAATTATCTCGAGATTAAACATTCCACAAATTTGCAACAAACAGGATTCAGGTTGTTTGCCTGCTGTTTACTTGCTTAAATACTAGGTTTTGAAATGTAAATAGCTGGATGGTGATAATAATGACAAAAAAAGTACTACTAACAATAGCAATAATAAAATAGCATGGTTTGTGGCTGTTAATTGCTAGTTTAACTGTGACTGCTAACTAGTTTCAGGCAATGTTGTAATGCGGCTCCAGGAAGTTTCATTTCGGAAACGAATCAAATTTATATTATATCGAATGCACAAAAAGCACCAGCTGAGTTCGAGTTGAGATATATTGCAGGTATTCGTATTCATTCATTCACTACTGCATTAAATTATCACTTGTTCACTCTATGATCATTAGAAATGATGTAATGAATGCAAATATCATGAACAGAAATTAAATAACGCCTGAATACAATAGAAATGAACCACACCCAATAGAAGCTAGACGAACATCAGTGAATTCTTTGCAATGATTAAAACTGAACTATTCATACCACCACATATTTGATCTAAACCTAAAAATGATAGCGTCGGCCCGAAGTGCTCTGCCAAAACCACCGCCAGCTCAATGGAACGGTGGCGGCTTAACGGCATTGATCGGCGCCGAAAATGGAATTGATTCAACACTCGAGCAATACGTTATCAAGCAGTTACCGAACACGTTGCGTAATTTCGGCCGTACACGAGGAAATCCATGGACGGGCATTGAAAATATTGTTAAATCATTATTAATAAATAAAAATAAATAATCATAATAATAGTTCACAAACCACGAAAACATACCGAACATATGGAACAAATAAACATCTTTGCAAGTCCTCATCGTTTATGATTATAATATAAGCAAGAAATAATATTATTAGAATATATTAATATAAACAAATAATAAAATTTAATAATATGAACAAGTCCAGCAATTTGATATCACGATGACGGCGATGATAACAGAGGGTTTGCGCAAAGTGAGCGAAATTCATTGATATCATCCCTTTATTTCTTCGACCAATTTAAAATCTATTGCGTTTGAGAAATGCTAAACTTAAGTTAGACACACTGGCAACCAGTCATCTGTAGTGCATTGATTGCTGATATTAAACCCGACAAAATACGTATCAAACGCAGCCAAAGCATATTTCATATTTAAGGAACTCGGAGATTTCTTTAAATCTGAAAACAAACAAAACAATTATGGAAAATCACGAATATCATATCTTGATAATCCTGCAGTATAGGTCAAGGAAAAATGGAGTCTAGTCTAACACCCACAGAACACGCCTCAGCCATCGCAAACATGAAGACATTCTACCACAGCTACCTTCGCATATGTACAAGTGCTTTCTGGAACAATGAGAAGTATTTCAACTGAAATTAACTCAGTTTAAGTAAATAAGCATGTTTGGAGCTAATTGTGATCCATGCAACGAAAAATAAACCAATGATAAACACTAAACAACAACTGGGTAGAATTTGGATTCATAATACGGATATAATCAATTTACCTGAAGTGAAGAATAGAATACAATCAAGAATTCCAAATTTGTACTCGAAGCTAAAGAGTATTGACCTAGTGTGTACTAGAAGTCACATGCATACTAATACCAACTGAAATGAATCCGTGCTGGATAGTAATACAAACACAATGTGTTGGAATGAGCCACTCAGCTATGTGAGATGGCTTTAGAAAATCGTTGATATTAATATTTTACACCAGTGTGTTCTCAACATAACGGACTTTTGCAGTAGGATTCTGAATGTACTGCGTCAAAAAGTAATCATTTAACCCTGGGAGTGCTACTACTGTTGGTTTCACTAACTGTGGACGTGGCTAGTTACCGTAGTCATTTAACCCCAGAGCTACTACACATAAATATTGTCGAGCAGTTCTGCCTATATGAGGAGATATAGCTATTTTCTTAGAGCTATCTCATAAAGGAAGGTCACGAACTTATCCTCACGTTTCAAGATGAAATCATGTTGTAGATCTCCTCGAGCTGATTAGAATAAGTAAAGCATTTTTGCGAAACACAAAAAAGAAGCGAGATATGACGGGAAAAAGATTTCCACTGCATTGAAGGATCGTTCTGAATTTTGATCCGGCAGCAGCGGCATGGCCTAATGGATAGTGCGGTAGCATCAAGCTTGGATGCTCGGTGGTTATGTCCTGCGCGCTGACGAGACTTTTTTTCTCATGCCTTAACATAATTTTATCTATTTAGCAGTTTTCTTTAAGTTCTCCTTATCTTTAGATATTTTATTGCTCGA